GGTTCCCAAAGGGGATCCCCAGGCCAGGGAGAAACTAAACAGCACAGCTGTCACTGAGTGCCCAGTCTTGCTTGAATTGAACCCTTAGAAGCACAGCAGAGAGCCAACCACCCCTAAAACACCTGTGGGTGGGACGTGATCCTTGAGGCCTTTGTACAACCTTTGGGAATGGGTTTAGATGCACAATGAGGCAGTCCCCCCCCCCAGAACACCACCCCTGGGTCCAGACACATGTCTACCCTCCCAGCTGATAGGATGGGGACCGACTCAGCAATGTCACAGCAAAAAGCAGGTCTCACTCACCCCAGTGCCCACAGCTGACTGGCAGTTCCCAGTTACCAGCCTGGGGCCCTCACATCCAGGAGGCACGGATTTTTCCTGCCCTTCTCCCCTCTTCACCCAGCCCTTCTCCTACCTTACCAAAGAAGAGCCAGTGCCTCCCTGTCCTGAATCTGTGGGGCACAGGCCAAGGTACAAACATCCCTGGACACCAAGGAGGGGGGTTCAAGAACACACACCCTCAACAGAGAGGGCTCAGTGGGGCATGGTGGCACCTGCTGTGCTCCCAGTGTCTAGGGAGGCTGAGGCAGGAAGATCACAAGTTCAAGTTCAGCCTCAGCAACTTAGTGAGGTCCTAGAGTAACTTAGAGAGATCCCATCTTTAAGTTAAATATAAAAATGGGCTGGGAATGTGGCTCAGTGTTTAAGTACCCTTGGTCCAATCTCTGGTATCAAAAAAAGAAACAACCCAAAGCCAAAACACAAAAAAAAACAACCCAACCCAACAGAGAGGCCTCCTGAAACAATGTGAGCTGGTGTCATGGTGATGGGCATTAACATCTTCAATGTGAACTGAAAAATTGTCAGTTTTTGACTAGAAAAATTGTCTGATTTGATTGACAGTTTTACAATAACTCTGGGCTTAGCTTTTTGAATTATGTAGAAGACATTTTTCACACATTACATAAGCTAGTTGTGTAACTCCAAGGTTGTCAAGAAATTTTGGAATAAAATCATGGATGAAAATGCACAAAATTACATCATATGTAAATATTTTACATTTATGATTTTTGAACTGTTTGATTATCACCTAAAAATGTGTAATGTAATATTTCGTAGTTTATTTGTGTGTGTGTGTGTATGTGTGTGTCTATGTGTATGTGATGTTGGCAATAGAACTCGGGGTCTCATGCACGCCAGGCAAGTGCCCTGCCATTGAGCTACAGCCCCAGTACTTCCAAGTTCTTTGAAACCAAGACTTGTTACCCAATGTCCCATTGGTCAAATCTTGCCTGTCACCTATTTCTACAAAAGTAAATAACTGTAAACAATCAAGCTCTATTGGAACACATCCTCGCCTGTTGGTTTACAGAGTCTATGGCTGCTCTCAGGCTACAGAGTGACACTGGCAGATTAAGGAGAGGGTCACTTCAGCTGGCCCACAAAAGCTTAAGTGTTTCCTGTTGACCTTGTGCAGGAAAAATGGACCCAACATGACCAGGGTCCCCTTCTCCTGGACCCCACTGCTCACTCTGCCAGCTTCCCTGACCCCAGATCACGGGCAATCTCCAAGTCAGGTTGCACTGCCAGCCCTCAGCAGGTGCCCAGCCCCTGTCAGGTGGGGAATGGTCTGGTCCCAGGGAAGGGGACACAGGCTAAGCACACACCTGGTTGCTGAAAGAAACTCCATAGTGCAGCTTGTTCGCAAAGTGCTCACAGTTGTTGTTGGTCAATGAATAGGGCACGTATTTCCCCACCATTTTCTCTGCCTGCTGGACAATTTCACTGGGTGGCAGTGGCTCATACTTGTTATCATTCTTGTTATTGACCCAGTATGTGTCTCCTCCAGCCACCACCGACAGCAGCTCCTTCTTCACTATGGCTCTGTTACCCACGACGGAACTGAAGAAGCTCACGCTAGGTCCTTCCACTTCACCTGTGGAAACAGTGGACTCAGGCCTGGGCAGGGCCATAGAGGCACAGAGTGTCCCCCATCAAAACAGCCTCACTGCAAATTGGGAGAGAAGTGGTTTCCAGAAAGTTTTGTCCCCCTCCCCTGAACAGCATCCTCCCCCAAGCTCATTCCCAGCTGGAGCAGTGCTGTTAGCAGCCCTCCACCCAGGGGTGGCTCAGGATGGCTGCAATGCTTTCACTGCCTCCCCTCTACCTGGGAAATCTTAATGTCCTGGGACATGACTCAGGCATTTGGATTTGCTGTATCATTCCCTGACCCCCAATCACAGGCAACATCCAAGTCAGGTTGCACTGCCAGCTCTCAGCAGGTTCGCAGCCCCTATTAACTGGGACAATGCCATTGGGCCAATGATTTGCATGGGAGGACCTGGAGTCCAGTTTTGAATGATTCAGAACTAAAATTATAAAGTGAAAATGAAACCCTCAATTATGCTATTAAGAAACTCGCTGAAACCATAGTTGAAATCAGTGGAATCTCTGTAAGTACATGGAGTGTTTCTGTAGTAGCATTATATGAGGCAGAGAGCAGACCAATATTGGTCTGTGCACACGGTACAGACCAATACTCAGGGCATGTCTGGAGAAGGAATCAATCATATTTAATTGGGGGTGGAACTTTTGGAAATTTCTATCAAATTTGTAGGAATGTGTTATACTTTTACCCTGGTTTAAAGCCCTGTCATTTGGGCTGGGGATGTGG